TTTCTTTTCTTTTCTTTTCTTTTCTTTTCTTTTCTTTTCTTTTCTTTTCTTTCCTTTTCTTTTCTTTTCTTTTCTTTTCTTTTCTTTTCTTTCTTTTAACTTAAAGAAGAGTAAAAGCAATTCCCTTGAAGATACAAATAAAGAAGCAATTTCAGAACTTGTCTAAGGAGTTTAAGGTTTCCAGTTTTTAGTAGCCCCTCTGCAATCCAAAGATCAATTAAAGGCATATGAAAGGGAAAGCCTGGGTTAGCAGTAGATGAGGTAAAAAGCATGGGCTTTACCAAGAGATAGACCTGGTTTTGAATCTTATAATATTGGAAAAGATGCATAATCTCTTAAAGGAACAGGGGTTTAAGCTAGAGGTTATAGGGAGTCCTAAGATTAGATATTCCAGTGGTTGGAAGTGACTCCGCTGTTCAATCTGATGATACATTCCTTTGACCTAAAATGCAGACAGTCTTCCCTACACCCCAAGCTGGGCAAAATTTCCCTCCTCCATATTCCCATAACTAATTGTGCCTGGCTCTATCATAGGACATATTACCATGTTGTGTAATTGAGAGGTTATGTCTCTCCTATTAGATTATAAGCCCCTTGAAGCCAGGATTTCAATTTTATTCATCTCTGAACCACAAACACTCAGAGTAGCATGTGGCACATAGTAGGTGCTCAGTAACTATTTATTGACCTGAGTGGCTTTCAATACAGAGAGCAAGGTGTCCATGGAAATCATCGTCCTCCTGAGAGCTGCCCTACTCAACCTACTTACATTCTGGAAAGAAGACCATTGTGTTTAGGGTAATAATGGAATGATTCACTTTTCCTTGGACTAGCCACCTCTCACTTGGGAAGAGCATGTGGTGCTGTTTTGAGAAATAATGGAGCTGATGTTCACGGGCATCCGTCTTAAATGACAAAAGTTCTTTATGAAGGTAAGGAGTGATGATGACTGCAGCAGAAGCTTCCTCTTATTCTTTCATTTCTCCTCTATTTAGCTGTGTTTGAGTGGGCAAAAGAAAATCCTGGCCTACAGAAAGGACCTGCCTGAGGCCTCAGATCCGAGTTCCTTGATATTAAGTCACACGTTTTATGCTCTTCTGAGGACTGAATGACAAAATGAGTAGGTCCTGAGTGATGGTTGCCCTTCCTGTTCGGTCCCTAGGCTCTAGCAGTTCAAACAGCCTTGTTGAATCCCTAAAGAGGAAAAAAAGACTCATCATGGAAAGCAGATGGTAAAACGCTCCTGCCATCCTATGGTGCTCTATCTATTGCCCCATCAGACCCAAGAAGGAGGTCTATCTCGGCCTAAAGCCTGAGGAATTCCTCCTCCTTTGATTCTTCAAAAGGAAGGAGTACCTTAGCCTCTGGCATGTTGCCTTCTGGATTAGGGGCAGAGGAAATCTCCTGAAGGACTGAATTATTGCAATCGTCAAATAAACCAGTACTCTACTAAGCATCTCAAAACCTAACTTTGATTTCAAATCCTGTCCTTTGATAATAATAATAATTTGCTGAAACATCTCAAGACCTAAATGTGCTATATTCAAATGACCAAATTACAAGTACAGGCTTCAAGAAGCTCTTTTATTTCCTTTAATTTATCTATTTATTTGAGAGAGAGTGAGAAAGAAAGTACGCAAGCAGGGAGAAGGGCAGACAGAGAGGGAGAAGCAGACTTCCTGTTGAGCAGAGAGCCCAGTGTGGGGCTCGATCCCAGGACCCAGAGACCAGGGCCCGAGCCAAAGGCAGATGCCCAACTGACTGAGCCACCCAGGCGCCTCACCGGAGGCTCTTATTATTCAACAGAACACGTAGATCCAGAGAGTATTGGGAATTCTCAACCTAATAGAGATGTTATTAAATGTGTTTTGGAGTAATGAGTCATTCCCAATAGATAGTCTACAGTGTGGTTAGAGTCAAAAAAGCAAAAAAGTTCACAACAGCATTTAGAATTTATATATATATATGTATATATCATATGTTGATATGATATATACATATATAAATATATATGTATATGATATATACATATATAAATATATATGAACATTAGAAACCTCAAGGATTAAGATGCCCTGCCTGGATGTATGATGTCATTTGGCCAGGTCATAGGATGAAGGGGGTTTGGTTAACCAAATATTCTGATATTACTATAAGAATTACTGTAATAAAATGCACTTAACATTAAAACTTCTGCTGATGGGGGGCACCTGGGTAGCTCAGTCGGTTAAGCCACTGCCTTCGGCTCGGGTCATCGAGCCCCAAGTCGGGCTCCCTGCTCAGCGGGGAGCCTGCTTCTCCCTCTCCCTCTACCTGCTGCTCTGCCTACTTGTGCTCTCTCTTTCTCTCTGTTAAATAAATAAATAAAATCTTTTAAAAAAATAAAATAAAATAAAACCTCTGCTAATGATAACAAGTTTTCTATTTGCAACCTACCAGTGTCTGAAAGTTATCATTCTGAAAAGAAACTTACTTCCTGCAAAAGTGGGCAAAGGTTATAAATAAATTGAATTAAAACACATAGAAACAGTTCTAAGTTTTCAGATATATTCTATTCAGCTGGAAGAGTCCTTATACTGGATATCTCCATTTAAGAAATTTGCCAATCTGTCAATCTATGAGATAGTGAACAATATTTCTACATGACCAAACCTTTCTATAAAACACTTTCACTATTGAGTCATTAGGAAAGGGAAGGGAAGATCTGATTTCTATTCTCAGGAAGCTCACTCTATGAGCATGAAAGCCTCATTTTGAAGGTTGCAGTTGTTTCTGAGTCAGTAAGTCATTTTCCACTAAGTGCCTCTGTTGGCCCTGTCTCCAAGTTCCCTAATACAACACTGTATACATGTGACCAAAGAGAACAGGAATTAAATTCAGTTCAATTTCTTCTTTATAAATAGGCTCTTTCTTCCATCTTCTCTCTCAAGAGAAGGAGCCCCTACTTGTCTAACATCCTTTGCTTTATAACGGTTTATTTCTGTGAATTTGAGTAACTCCCATTTTTTTCAAAGTTCTGTTTCAGTTATCCAGCGAACGTGTTCAGAGATTTTTAGGGGAAAGGAACCATACCAGACACTGTGGGATACAAAATTGGAAAATAGAAAGACATAGTGTCACAAAAAATAAGCTTATAGTCTAGTGAGGAACCAATACACTGGTGTGCACTCAACTCTGGTACAAAGCAGGAGTCAGAGAAACAGGTTTGGGGTGGTGGGGTGTGCATAGAGAGAGGATGCTGGATACATTGAGTTTGAGATCTTGTTGGAGCATTCAAAAAGATACTTCATTGGTAGTAAGAAATGAGGGACTCAAGTTTGGAAGAAATGATACAGCTGAAAATAAATACATTTGAGAGGAATCTACATAGACGTGAATATTGAAGCTGTGAGCTTAGCTAAGGTTAAAGCAGGGTTTCTCAACCATGGAACTATTGAAGTTTGGGGCCAGATAACCTTTTTTGTGGGGGATGCTCTGTGCATTGTAGACTGTTTAGCAACATTCCTTACCTCTACCCTCTAGATGTCAGTATCACTCCCTCCCTGGTTGTGAAAACCAAAAATGTGAGACATTGCCAAATGTCCACAAGGGGCAAATCTGTCCCTGGTGGAGAACCAACAGATTAGAGAGACAGAGAGATGGTGTGAAGGATGAAAAGAAGATTGTAAAGGACAAAATAAGTTTATGGAGTAGAAAGAAGAGAAAGACAGAAAAAGACATGAAGAGACATTTGATGCAGTATTATCCTAAAACTCTAGGGGAGGGCAGGAACTTCAGTTTGTGAATGAAGCTCAAGCTTGGTGAATAATTAGTATGTACACACAGACACTCAAAGAGATGGAAATACCACCTATATGTACATACACACGCTCTCTCTCCATGTATATGTGTATATATATACAATTATATATTGGGAGAAAGAATATATTCCTAAACTCTTTCTTTATTCATTCTTCTTACTCAGTAAGACAGTTCAATTTTATCAAAATATTAGAAAACTCACATCAATTCTTTTTGGAAGAGGTTTAAGTCAGAACCAAAAAAAAAAAAAACAAAAACCCAAAACAAAACAAAACAAAACAAAATGAAAGTAGCTGTGCCTGTCTGTTTCCTCTTCCCCTTCCACATCACTCACATGCTCAATAATCCAGACTCCCAGTGTTCTGAAGCTCTCTCCCCCACTCCTCTAAGATATAACAATAATCTTAAGAAAGATTTAGATAAACTTGGTGTGGCTGTCAATGGGTGAAGACTGACTATATCTCCTCTTCTGATGTTTATAAGAAAAAAAAGGAGATCCCCATTTGATTTAAACCAAAGGAATGAAATTCTAAATCCCTAATTGTGTAAATTCAGGAATCAGCAAGCCATAGGGCAGAGTTTCTTTTTTTTGGAGGTGCTTTCCCCAGAATCCCCGGAAATTGACCAATTTGGTAGCTCTGGTACACCCAGAAAGCTAGATCTATTGCTCTTACTTAGGTGTCCATAACACCAAATGGAAGAATATCTTTATCCAGGAAGTCCATGGCCCTACCTTTGGGGGAAAGGGCATCCAAGATTCTGTACCAGGAAAGAATCTTGGAGAATGGAAAACATTGCCTAAGCATCTGCAAGAAATAGGTTTAGGGTGGAAGAGTCAGGGTGGAAGATGGTTCCCGGGACAATCATCCTCAATGCTTTGCGAAACCAGGAATAAAACATGCCATATATAATGGGATTGAAAGTGGAATTGAAATAACCCAGCCAGAGGAAGACATTGTACAAATCTTCAGGAGTTGTAAAATTAATGAAAGGGTCTGTGATTGTCAAGACAAAAAAGGGCAGCCAGCACAGCACAAACACTCCCATGACTATGCTTAAAGTCTTAGTGGCCTTGCTTTCTTTTTTGGATGATACTTTCATTTCGCTTTCTGACCCTCCCTGTTTCCTGGTAGGACCCATGCCAATTTGCCTGGCATGCTTCCTAGCTACTGTGAAAATGTGTACGTAAATCCCCACCATGACAGTCCCAGGAAGAAAGAAGGTTATAAAGGAGGCCAGCACCCCCCAGAGCTTGTTAAATATCAATACACACAAACCTGTGCAGTCAATGGCTGCAACAAAGTCCTCTGCACCAATTATATTGAACTCTGAGACTACCAGGCCAAAGGCAAAAAAGATGGGAATGGACCAACTGATGAGCAGAAAGACCTCTATCATGGGGATGGTAATTTTGGTGACATAATGCAAAGGGTCACAAACAGCATAGTAGCGGTCCACCGCGATGAAGCAGAGGTGAAAAATAGAGGTGGTACAGAGCATGATGTCACAGCAGCTGTGGACTTTGCAAAAGAGGTCTCCAAAATACCAGCAGGACTCAATTGACCTGACCATACTGAAGGGCATGACCACACAGCTCAACAAAAGTCAGTGGTGGCCATGGAGAGAATCAGGAAGTTGGTTGGGGACTGGAGCTGCTTGAAGTGGGCGATGGAAATGATCACAACCAGGTTGCCCAGCATGGTCATCACTATAGCACCAATCATGATAACGTACATGGCACACACACTCAGCGCAGACCTCACATTTCTAGGGCATGAATTGTTGACCAAAGCAAAGCAAAACTGTACTTCTGAAGTGTTCCAAAGATCAGGTGAATTCATTGTCTTTGTCCTGTAGATACTATTAGTCTTTTGCAAAAGTACTATGCTTCTCTCCTTTCTGTGAAAGAAAGAGGAAAAACAAGGAAAACTGTTGGTGGGCAAATTTTCAGAAAGGCCCAGCTAGCTACATTTCTAATCCCAAATTGAACTCCCTATCTATCAGGAGCATTACTTCTCAAATATTGAAGTACCTAGGAATCAACTAAGGATCTTTTTAAAACACAGATTCTGATTCTGGGGTGGAGGTTGAGAGTCTGCAATTCTCACTGGCTCTCAGGAGATGCTAATAGTATCAGTCTAAAGACTGTCCCTTAACTAGGAAGGAACTAAAGACAACTAAATGACTATTGTCACCCAACGTCTAAGTAACCCAGTTAAAACCACCTAAGCAACCCAGGTAAATGCCCATGTTCTGATTGCACTAATATGTAGCCCTTTCTCAGGATTCCAAATCTATAGACAGATCAAGAATTTTCTCTGTTCCACTTAAATTAACCATTTTGCTGATAAATCCCCTCAAAAATACCCGGGACCGATAGAACCATTATATAGTGTTCAGCTCAAACAATAATTACAATCTAAAGATTGTGTTTTTTTTTTCCCCCTTAATTTCTCTTGTGGGTATTTGCAAATTCTTTGGATCCTGTTGCTTGATACACACTATTTAATTTAAGAAACATTTCTCTTTCCAATGTGAACAATATAGTTTTTAGCATTTAGAGCAATTTATGGTAAACTGAAAATGTGCTAAAGCCTACAAAATTATATACATGAGTAATCTCAGAAAAAAAGGGGGAGGGAATACTGAAATGAAAGATTCTGTAAATCTCGTGGGTTATCTCCTTTCATATAGCAACTGCATCCATGAATTCAAGTTTAAGTTGAGGTCTCCTTGTCCACAGATTGCAAGGCTTCTATTGGTAACAAATTTGACAGATAGGCGTGCTCATTGTTTAAACTGTCACTTTACATATTTCATGCTCTTGCCCTGAAAATGTGAAAATAATGAGACTGACTCACCCAGAGTATGACTGAGGTTTGATTTGTTTTTCCAGTGCCAGCACTGGATGTATGACTCTGATGACCAAGGACAAGCATTACTGAGATCTAAAGCCAGGTTGGAGAAGTGGACTTTAGCCTGAGAAGAACACATTAAATGAGAATACAAGTACCTTTGAAAATAATTTACCATATTTGCTATTACAGCTCAGCAATTTTTTCCAATGTGTATTATTTGAAATTTTAACATTATGGCACATTTTATTTGCTCTGGATATAATTATTTAATTTCTCAGATTTGCATTTTTCTTTAGATATATTTTTCTTTAGATAAATTGTGCCATTCAAATATTATGCAATGGAGTTGAACTTGAGAAAACAAAACACAGAGAAGTAAGAGGTAAGAAGGACAAAGATTTATTCAAGTCCTTTTTAAACTATGGATTATCAATTTTGGAACACACAGTACAAATTATTTGATCACTTATCACTTAAGCCATAAAATACTGAATATAATGAAGTCTTAAATACCAAATTAACTTCTTTAATGAATTAACTCTATTCTGCTTTTTATCTTCTTTGCTTTCGTGAATTTAAATTTTTTTCTTTAATTCTTTTAAAAATTATCTTTAAAGACAGCTAACATGTACCACAAAATTACTTAAGCACTTGTCGCTGTATACCCACAGACACAGCATTCATTGTACAAAATGTATGCTCTTCAGTAGTTCATGGTATGATTTGGGGAGTTTGAAGTTTCAGTTTTGAAAACTTAATGCCTGAAAGAATTGATATAACTTAACCTCTTAGGTTTGTGAAGTGAGTTTCATTTATTTCATCTTACTTATTTACTTTGTGTGGGAGGAAACAGGGTAGGCATCACCTCAAGTTTCTGATCCGAGGTTACAGGAAAGTGTTTAAATATTTAAGTGTTAGAGTAAGACAAAAAGAGTCAGATGCACACATTTACTTAAAAAATTATTACACGGGTGAATTGTGAAGGTAATGTCAAAGGTAATAATACGTTAAGCCCCTACCTGTACGTTCTTGGCCCCAAATGACAAAAGCAAGAAAGCAAATGCAAATGTGGCTGCTGGTCTACCACTTCCTTAAACAACAAAATGGTCATGAAATCAAGTGCAGTTGAGGTTTTGTTATTTAAAAATATAACAGAATCGATTCCTTTACTTTGAAGATTCACTTCCAAAAAAGATACAATGATTTTTAATAAGATTAAACAAAGTTAAACTCACTATGACATCTCACTTTTCTCAGAGAATATTATTATTATATCTTTTATTTTTTTATTATTATTTTTTGAACCAATAACATTTCCAGGGACCAAATGAGTGACAACATTGTAAACAATCACAGGATGCAAGCATAGGAAATTATTAGTCATTTTTGCTAGGAGGTAGTAAGAAACATTAGCAAACAATTCTGGAGAGGAGCAAGAATTATATTGTCTTTTAGTTCAAGTTTAATTCTTTAAGGGAAAAAATAACATAATAAGGAAACAGACACAAGGACTCTGAAAGAATGATTTCCTCAGAATTGCAAAAAAAAAAAAAAATGAAAAAAGACTCACGTAATAATTTTCCCTAAGTATTAATTACCTAAAATTCCGTTAATATATATGTATTTCCCTCAAATAAGAAGGAAAATATCCATTGAACTCAATAATGTATTGTAAATAAAGTGGCAATTTTAGGAAAGGACATATCATACCTGCTTTATCAGGCATGATTTTTCTTCCCTTGCTGGTGACATAGCTCAGCCATTTTACCTCTGAGACTATTTCTGTGGGGAAAAATAAGATATTATCTTCCTTTGATGTATCTCACTCATTGAGTAGTTTCTTAGGTAAGGGATCTTACTTGTGAAGTAATTTAAGAAAAAAAGTGCTGTGGGTCCTCCTATCATTGTCTCTTTAGAATCTCCATGATTTTTTTTTTTTAAATGATCTAGATTTATTTTTTAGACCAGTATTTTAAGTTTGGTTCCTTTCAACAGGCAATAGATAAATAAATATATCTGCTCTTTTTCTTCTTTAAATATATTCTTCTCTGGCTTACCAGAATTTGTCTGATGAGGTAATTTGGAGCTAAAATCTTTGAGAGATGAATTATCTGTTGTGCTAAGGTTTCTTACCACGCAACCCGGCAATATGCCTGGCGGCTCTCCTCTTTGCTGATACTCAACCAGAAAAGGCACTTACGCCCAAGCTCTTATGGGTAGACTCTTGGCAGGCTATGCTGTCATCAGTGCATATACACAGAATATGCCTCCTGAGGCCACATTACCTACTTTTGTCCTACTTTGGACAGGTGTGCCCTTTAACAATGTGCAATGTGCTGCCAGCAAAGCAATTACAGCAGGTCACCAGAGAATTGGCTCTGGGAGGGTGAATCAGTTTGTGTGATTGTCCCTTTGACTTCAAAGGAACAGCATGGACTAGCCTCACAGAAGGCCAAAGTGGAGAAAAAGGAAAAAAATGATAGGAAGGGAGGGAACGAGGGAGGGAGGATAAGGAAAGAAGGAAGAATAAAGAAGGAGAAAATTTAGTTAAAATCCAAAAAATGCTCACTCTGCTTATTACCAAATGATAGATGTTTTTAAACACTTTAATCCTGGGGCACCTGGGTGGCGCAGCCAGGTAAGCCTCCGGCTCTTGGTTTGGTTCAGGTCATGATCTCAGGATCCTGGGATCAAGCCCTGCATCTGGCCCTGTGCTCAACTCCGCATCTGCTTGAGATTCTCTCTCTTTCTCTCTCTGCTCCTCCCACTCAGGCTTGCTCTCTCTCTCTCTCTAAAATAAATCAGTAAAATCTTTAGAACCATGAATGAATAAACAAATAAATAAACAAATAAAATGCACAACTGACCACATCACTTTAAAAAAATAAATAAATAAATAAATACCTTAATCCCTAGTGAAAATTTGGCTCATTTATACCTTTTCCTTTTGTTGCCATGCACAGTTCAGTGATATTCACACTGCAGTTAAGTCCATAATTTGTCAAACAAAAAGCAGTAAGAACCATGTTTCAAACCAACCAAATGAAAAGTGAAAACTTCTATCATCATGTGGGTGTTTTCATGATCCCTGGGGGAAAGTGTTTCTGTTAGGGGACCACAGTTCTGAACACCAAGCTTCAAGCTGTTTCCACTGATAATTTTGTCATCCACTGAGGACACAAAACTGTTATATCTAAATACTCAGGGCTTTGGACCACATCAGAGCTTAAGTATTTATAAAAAAAAAAAAAATAGCATCAAATTATTTGTATTTAAGTTAACTAGTAAAAACCAACTTTATTTCATCCTCTGAGGACTTTTCTTTATAAAATAAAAAGCCTCAGTGAATGGGGATGGTTCACTGGGTTTACAAAACTTCTCCTTCCAAACTTCTTCCTAGACAGAGCACTAATAACATCATAGTGTATTTTTATAAATTTTCATTATATCAGGCAGAGTCCAGTCAGGAAAGTAAAAAGGGAAATTGTTATTTTAACTGAAAGAAATTAACTATGAAACTGTTTTAAGAGATATTGAAGGACTTATGTCCTATTTAAATGGCTTTAAGAGTTTGTCCAGGCTCAAGCTGAGGTTCAAGTACTTTAGTGGTGTCTGACTAAACAAAATTATTTAGCATGAAAATAACTTCTCAGCGAGCTTGGTAAAATGTAAAGCACAGACTTGAATGCTACAGTTGGATTCTGAGCTGTCCGACCCATCATCACAGCTCTCCTGGGGCTCCAGGAGGGCAGAAGGACTTTGGAGCACCAGGACTTGATTATTACTAAAAGAACTTAGTTTGCCAAAGGAAAAGCAATGGCATCCTTTTGATCTTAGAAGATCTTTTCTTTCTTTGGCATTAATTTACCAGTGAATCACTCTTAGCTGCTCATTCCCCGAGATGAATAAAGTAGTATAGGATAAAGTATAAATAAGAATAAAGTAAAATAAAAGAAATAAGAATAATTCAAATTCAAATTTCT